CGTTACACTGTTTACATTGATGTCCCCTCGTTACACTGTTTACATCGATGTCCCCTCGTTACACTGTTTACATCGATGTCCCCTCGTTACACTGTTTACATCGATGTCCCCTCGTTCCACTGTTTACATCGATGTCCCCTCGTTCCACTGTTTACATCGATGTCCCCTTCTTCTACTATTTCCGTTTCGTATATAATGTCTTAGTCAGCCTTGTTGGTTCTCCTTAGACTCTTGCTAGCATGTCTTCGCTACTGCCCCGGGCTCTTGTGTGTGGAGGGGGGGGGGAGATTTAGTTTGTTGATGATTCCTCTCTTAGTTCATTCCTCTGCCATACGAACCTTGTGGCGTCTCTGTGCACCCGCGGAGGCCTGGTCGACGACCGGGCCGCGGGGACGCTAAGCCCCGGAAGCACCTCAAGGTAACCCTCTCTTGCTTTATTTGGTGCTTCTCCTGGTGAGATGCGAGGGTGTGTCAGATATGTGGAATACAATATTTTGAAGGTTTACTTGTCTAGGTTGCTGAAGGCTGTATGGATATTTGCCAGTTTGAATATACTGCAGACAATATTCTCTTTAATGTGTGGCTCCATGTCAACCGTAGGATCGTTATTCTTTTATGGGGCGAGAAGTTGGTATAAGTTTCATATCATATGTTTGTTAGGGTATTCTTTTTCCTGCTTCTATCGTCACAGCTTTGCAATTTTCATCTTTGCATTCCAGAAGCAATATCTCAAACCAGCGATGAAGCTTGGTCTAGGCTTCAGATGTTCTTAAAGCTTTCCTTGGCCCAGACTTTCGCCATTGACATCACATCAGCAGACATGGATGTGAACGAGCCTGTTTGTTTTTGATAGGTCGTTAACGCATTCTTGAAGCAAGTTAGATCATAGTACTGATGCTTGCGGCACCATTCCGCTCGTGACAACTCTCTAGTCTGACCTCTTTCTCTCTCTCTCTCCCCCCTCACTGTGACCTCCTTCCCATTCTGACCTCTCTCTACCCCCTCTCTGTGACCTCCTTCCCATTCTGACTTCTCTCTACCCCCTCTCTGTGACCTCCTTCCCATTCTGACCTCTCTCTACCCCCCTCTCTGTGACCTCCTTCCCATTCTGACCTCTCTCTACCCCCTCTCTGTGACCTCCTTCCCATTCTGACCTTTCTCTACCCCCCTCTCTGTGACCTCCTTCCCATTCTGACCTCTCTCTACCCCCTCTCTGTGACCTTCCCATTCTGACCTCTCTCTACCCCCTCTCTGTGACCTCCTTCCCATTCTGACCTCTCTCTACCCCCTCTCTGTGACCTCCTTCCCATTCTGACCTCTCTCTACCCCCTCTCTGTGACCTCCTTCCCATTCTGACCTCTCTCTACCCCCTCTCTGTGACCTCCTTCCCATTCTGACCTCTCTCTACCCCCTCTCTGTGACCTCCTTCCCATTCTGACCTCTCTCTACCCCCTCACTGTGACCTCCTTCCCATTTTGACCTCTCTCTACCCCCTCTCTGTGACCTCCTTCCCATTCTGGCCTCTCTCTACCCCCTCACTGTGACCTCCTTTCCATTCTGACCTCTCTCTACCCCCTCTCTGTGACCTCCTTCCCATTCCACACACAAACACACACACACACACACACACACACACACACACACATAGGGGCCTCGTAGCCTGGTGGATAGCGCGCAGGACTCGTAATTCTGTGGCGCGGGTTCGATTCCCGCACGAGGCAGAAACAAATGGGCAAAGTTTCTTTCACCCTAAGTGCCCCTGTTACCTAGCAGTAAATAGGTACCTGGGAGTTAGTCAGCTGTCACGGGCTGCTTCCTGGGGTGTGTGTGTGTGGTGTGGAGAGAGAAAAAAAAAAGTAGTTAGTAAACAGTTGATTGACAGTTGAGAGGCGGGCCGAAAGAGCAAAGCTCAACCCCCGTAAAAACACAACTAGTAAACACAACTAGTAAACACACACACACACACACACACACACACACACACACACACACACACACACACACACACACACACACACACACACTCTCGCATACCTGCATGGTCAAGTCGGCTGAATCAGCTTGAATGTATAATAGTAAGGGGCCAACAAAGGGCCTTTGCTCTTTCTTTTCGTGTCCATGGTGCGATAACGTCTTACTCAGTGTGTGAGTACTCACTTTATTGTAACTGAGGGGAGGTTGAGCTTCAGCTCTTTGGACCTGACTCACAGCCTTCAACCAAAATGGTGTTCAGGTTCCAGAGTTTATTTGGGCTATGTCTTCATATATAAATTAGACTGTAGTCATCAGCATATCCTGAGCTTCGGGGAATGAGGTGTAGTATATCGCTGAAGTAGATATTCCACAACATGGAGGGGTCCAAGCACACTTCCCTGTGGCATCCTGGCGTTAACTGATTCCGCTCTATTGAGACCTATCTTTCATTTCATGTTATCATTTATCAATTCTGATAGAAATTACCGACTTAGAATTATCTGTTAGATTAAGGACCTGCCCGAAACGCTGCGCGTACTAGTGGCTTTACAAGATTGTAAATACTGTACTATCCAATGTATTCTCACAAACCCAATGTACCTTCTTGTATATATATAAATAAATAAATAAATAAATAAATAATATTTATGATTCCATATATGTCTCTCTGTCTGTCTGTCTGTCTGTCTGTCTGTCTGTCTGTCTGTCTCTCTCTCTCTCTCTCTCTCTCTCTCTCTCTCTCTCTCTCTCTCTCTCTCTCTCTCTCTCTCTCTCTCTCTCTCTCTCTCTCTCTCTCTCTCACCTCTCTCTCTCTCTCTCTCTCATGATCCACACTTATCCGAGATGCTCCATACAGTACTGTGAACGATGTAACGAATGGACGAGTGACTACAGTAGTGTTTCATTACATAATATTGATAACATTTCTTTGACGATGTTACTCACCTGTTGCCTCCAGTCTGGTGCCTGTCTGCGCCACCACTATGGGATCACAGGTGACGCTGAGGCTTGGTGATGGATGTATAGCATGGGAGAGGTGACTGGTGAGAGTAGTGGGAGAGGTGACTGGTGAGAGTAGTGGGAGAGGTGACTGGTGATAGCAGTGGTAGAGGCGACGGATGAGATCAGAGGTAGAGGTGACTGATGAGATCAGAGGTAGAGGTGACTGGTGATAGCAGTGGTAGAGGCGACGGATGAGAGCAGAGGTAGAGGTGACTGATGAGATCAGAGGTAGAGGTGACTGGTGATAGCAGTGGTAGAGGCGACGGATGAGAGCAGAGGTAGAGGTGACTGATGAGATCAGAGGTAGAGGTGACTGGTGATAGCAGTGGTAGAGGCGACGGATGAGAGCAGAGGTAGAGGTGACTGATGAGATCATAGGTAGAGGTGACTGGTGATAGCAGTGGTAGAGGCGACGGATGAGAGCAGAGGTAGAGGTGACTGATGATATCAGAGGTAGAGGCGACGGATGAGAGCAGAGGTAGAGGTGACTGATGAGATCAGAGGTAGAGGTGACTGATGAGATCAGAGGTAGAGGCGACGGATGAGAGCAGAGGTAGAGGTGACTGATGAGATCAGAGGTAGAGGTGACTGATGAGATCAGAGGTAGAGGCGACGGATGAGAGCAGAGGTAGAGGTGACTGATGAGATCAGAGGTAGAGGTGACTGATGAGATCAGAGGTAGAGGCGACGGATGAGAGCAGAGGTAGAGGTGACTGATGAGATCAGAGGTAGAGGTGACTGATGAGATCAGAGGTAGAGGCGACGGATAAGAGCAGAGGTAGAGGTGACTGATGAGATCAGAGGTAGAGGCGACGGATAAGATCAGAGGTAGAGGTGACTGATGAGATCAGAGGTAGAGGTGACTGATGATAGCAGTGGTAGAGGTGACTGATGAGATCAGAGGTAGAGGTGACTGATGAGAGTAGTGGTAGAGGTGACTGATGAGAGTAGTGGTAGAGGTGACTGATGAGAGTAGTGGTAGAGGTGACTGATGAGAGTAGTGGTAGAAGCGAGTGATGAGAGTACTGGTAGAGGTGACTGATGAGAGTAGTGGTAGAGGTGACTGATGAGAGTAGTGGTAGAGGTGACAGATAAGAGCAGTGGTAGAGGTGACTGATGAGATCAGAGGTAGAGGTGACTGATGATAGCAGTGGTAGAGGTGACTGATGAGATCAGAGGTAGAGGTGACTGATGAGAGTAGTGGTAGACTGATGAGAGTAGTGGTAGAGGTGACTGATGAGAGTAGTGGTAGAGGTGACTGATGAGAGTAGTGGTAGAGGTGACTGATGAGAGTAGTGGTAGAGGTGACTGATGAGAGTAGTGGTAGAGGCGACTGATGAGAGTAGTGGTAGAGGTGACTGATGAGAGTAGTGGTAGAGGTGACTGATGATAGCAGTGGTAGAGGTGACTGATGAGATCAGAGGTAGAGGTGACTGATGAGATCAGAGGTAGAGGCGACGGACAAGAGCAGAGGTAGAGGTGACTGATGAGATCAGAGGTAGAGGTGACAGATGAGATCAGAGGTAGAGGTGACAGATGAGATCACAGGTAGAGGTGACAGATGAGATCAGAGGTAGAGGTGACAGATGAGATCAGAGGTAGAGGTGACTGATGAGATCAGAGGTAGAGGTGACAGATGAGATCAGAGGTAGAGGTGACTGATGATAGCAGTGGTAGAGGCGACGGATGAGATCAGAGGTAGAGGTGACTAGTGAGAGCAGTGGTAGAGGCGACGGATGAGATCAGAGGTAGAGGCGACGGATGAGAGCAGAGGTAGAGGCGACGGATGAGATCAGAGGTAGAGGTGACTGATGATATAGCAGAGGTAGAGGTGACTGATAAGAGCAGTGGTAGAGGCGACTGATGAGATCAGATGTAGAGGCGACGGATGAGAGTAGAGGTAGAGGTGACTGATGCGATCAGATGTAGAGGCGACGGATGAGAGTAGAGGTAGAGGCGACTGATGAGATCAGATGTAGAGGCGACGGATGAGAGTAGAGGTAGAGGTGACTGGAGCAGCTTACCTCTGCGTGGTGCTCAGGGTCCCTCAGCTGTAACACACAGGGACCCATAAGCACGAATGTAAACAAACACGATATACACACACAGGCATTTTAAGACACAAACCTAAACAAACAATTAACTACGAAACTATACATATAAACGTATGTTTGACAAGCATTCATATAAACATTAATATAAACATATACTTATAAACAAAACCATCTAAGCATACCATAAATGAACCAACGATATGTAAACATTCAATGTTAAGAATAAACATGTCAACACAATTACTGAAAACCTAAACATGCCTTAAAAATTGTACATCTAATACATTTAAATAATTTGATATCAAACACTAACAAAAATTAAGATAATTATATTGATAATTAAGTAATTATAAGGGGGTAAGAGAGCATTACATTAGAGAAGCGAGTATATTTGTAGACATGCAGGGTGACATGCGTGCATCACAAGTCCCATTCAGGCAACAACGACGCGAATTCACTTCATTCATCTCCTCTGAGATGAATGAAGTATGAGAATTACAACTAAATACGTTTTTATTTACTGTCTGGCAAGCATGTTTTGCTGAGCTTTGTGTTCTTGAAGTGCAAATGTAAATATAAAACAGAGAGAGAGAGAGAGAGAGAGAGAGAGAGAGAGAGAGAGAGAGAGAGAGAGAGAGAGAGAGAGAGAGAGAGAGAGAGAGAGAGAGAGAGAGATATCGGCTCCAAACTTTTTGCCTATAATTTGAAAGTTCGTCGTTTCGAAAGTTAAGAGAAGACAAACAATTCTAGTGAAGAGTTTGACGAAGGCGCAGAAATGTTCTCGCTGTCAGTGTTCCCCCATCTGGTGTACATAGCAGTGTACAATGAACGTTTTGGCACTATATCCAGAAATAAGAATGCAAATACCATATTAATTATCAATATGAATTTACGCTATTCAGAAGCAACCATCATCTCAATAGATTCCCAGTGTATAACCTGGGGCCAGATTCACGAAAGCACTTACGCAAGCACTTACGAACGTGTACATCTTTCGTCAATCTCTGACGGCTTTGGTTACATTTATTAAATAGTTTACAAGCATGAAAACTTCCCAATCAACTGTTGTTATTGTTATAAACAGCCTCCTGGTGCTTCGGAGCTCATTAACTGTTTAATAATTGGAAACAAAGCCGCCAAAGATCGAGAAAAGATGTACAGGTTCGTAAGTGCTTGCGTAAGTGCTTTCGTGAATCTGGCCCCTGGAGTCTAAGGAGGAAGCCATCAGTTGTTGGATAATAGTCTTGTTTACCCGCTCCAGTAAAAACTGTCAACCAAGAGAGGTGATTCGGTCAAAGCTGCAGGAGACGGGCCAAAACCTTACAGAAGCTCTGCTTGGTGGAGGTTCTCGATGGCAGAGGCACTGAATTTGTCCCCCGCCACATTGATGATTTGCCATCAATTGACCTCATGATGTGATGCGATGGTGGTAGGTAAGTTACAACTAACTAGCGCAGTGTTGGCGGGGTAACCTGGCGAGACTAGAGGTTGTTGGCTGCAGCTGCGGGCGGGTGCGGGTCCTGCCTCCGTGGACAGGGCACCTTGAATCACCCTCTTGAGAAAACAAGTTACATGGCAGTCGCCGGAATTTAGAGTCCACATATTTCGCCTTCCATGAAATAACTACATAATTTTGCATAAATCTTATTCAGAGTTTGTACATATATATATATATATATATATATATATATATATATATATATATATATATGTGTGTATGTGTGTGTGTGTGTGTGTGTGTGTGTGTGTGTGTGTGTGTGTGTGTGTGTGTGTGTGTGTGTGTGTTGTTAAATATGACCGAAAAGGTAAGATTAATAATTCTAGCACGAATTTTCTCAATATTTCTTATGTTTCTTTTCACTGTCGATGGTAATTGAAAATTCAATTCATAGAATTGATTTTTTCAATTACCATCGACAGTGAAAAGAAATATAAAAAAAAATTGAGAAAATTCGTGTTAGAATTATTAATCTTACCTTTTCGGTCATATTTAACAACATATGTTTACAAGAAAGACTGCTACTAATATATATATATATATATATATATATATATATATATATATATATATATATATATATATATATATATATATATATATATATATATATATATATATATATATATATATATATATATATATATATATATATGAACACTCCACACCCCCAGAAAGATTCGAACCCAGATAGCCAGGAGCGCTATGCACCTCGGCGTACCTGGTACCTTAACCACTAGACCATACAACTGTACAAATATATTGGTAGTCGTGAGACCATTTCATCCAAGTCCCGACAGCGCTCGATGGTCAATTGAATTAATTAACAAATTGAATAATATTCCAATCAATGCTGATGTCAAGTTAATCAATTTTGACGTTTGTTCTTTGTTCCACTTGATGATATTCTTGATTACTTTGTTCACGAATGAAGCATGTATTACCAATTTATAATTGGTCGCATAAAAGGGAACTTGGTAAATACATTCAAAGGATAACTAATCAACACGACTGTAATTCATACATTTAGAGTGCGTGCAGCAACATCTAATAGCTTGATTGACCAGACTGTCGACCAGCAGGCCTTGGTCAGAGACCGAACCGTGTGGGACACGGACCTTCGCGGACCTAATCAAGATAATGCAAAGCAAACGAGATTCAGAGGTCTTGTCTGGCAGCCACTAACAATTATGCTTGCTTTAGCTTGCTTTAGCTTGCTTTAGCTTGCTTTAGCTCGCTTTAGCTTGCTTTAGCTTGCTTTAGCTCGCTTTAGCTTGCTTTAGCTTGCTTTAGCTCGCTTTAGCTTGCTTTAGCTTGCTTTAACACACACACACACACGCGCGTGTGTGTGTTTGGCTGGGAGCCCCACTGTATAAACAGATTGATCAGATAAAGGGGCATTAGAATGTTAATCGGATTAGCGATTTGTTCAAGGCCTATAACCACCTCTAGAGGGCTAAAGAGCCCACCACTATACATTATACCGACCAACCAGCAAGTATACTCAAGTCTCGGACATACTCCAGGCGGCTGAGAGTATACTCTGTGTGTATATACACACTGTGAAGGTTGGTACACCTTTGTGACCTCAGGAGGGAACATCTGAGTAATACAGTGGCTGTTGACGAGTGACAGGTATTGTCCAGTGACAGGTATTGTCCAGTGACAGGTATTGTCCAATGACAGGTAGGTGTCCAATGACAGGTAGTGACGAGTGACAGGTATTGTCCAATGACAGGTAGTGACGAGTGACAGGTATTGTCCAATGATAGGTAGTGAAGAGTGACATGTATTGTCCAATGATAGGTAGTGAAGAGTGACAGGTATTGTCCAATGATAGGTAGTGAAGAGTGACAGGTATTGTCCAATGATAGGTAGTGAAGAGTGACAGGTATTGTCCAATGATAGGTAGTGAAGAGTGACAGGTATTGTCCAATGATAGGTAGTGAAGAGTGACAGGTATTGTCCAATGATAGGTAGTGACGAGTGACAGGTATTGTCCAATGATAGGTAGTGACGAGTGACAGGTATTGTCCAATGATAGGTATTGTCCAGTGACAGGTAATGACGAGTGACAGGTAGTGACAGGTAGTGACGGGGGGTGATGAGACAGGAGGTGGTTTAAGGTGTGGTCTACCGGTTCTGCAGGGAGGGGTGGGGGTTATGGGGTGGGGGTTGTGGGGGTGGGTGGGGGGGGGCAGGCAGCAGACAGCCACACCCCCCCCCCCCTCCTGTGGCGCCTCCATCACTACCTCCTATTGATTACTACACCCTCACCTCCTCCTGCTCCTGCTGTTGTTGTTGTTGTTACTGTTAGTGTTACTGCTGTCACAGTTAGTGTTATTGCTGTTACTGTTAGTGCTGTCACTGTTACTGCTGTCACTGTTAGTGTTATTGCTGTTACTGTTACAGTTGTCATTGTTAGTGTTGTCACTGTTACTGTTACTGCTGTCACTGTTACTGTTACTGCTGTCACTGTTACTGTTACTGTTACTGCTGTCACTGTTACTGCTACGTCTGTCACTTACTGCTACGTCTGTCACTTACTGTTACTGCTGTTACTGTCACTGTCACTGTTACTGTTACTGCTGTCACTGTTAGTGTTATTGTTGTTACTGTTACTGTTGTCACTGTTAGTGTTGTCACTGTTACTGTTACTGCTGTCACTGTTACTTTTGTTACTGTTACTGCTGTCACTGTTACTGTTACTGGTAGTGTTACTGCTGTCACTATCACTGTTACTGTTACTGCTGTCACTGTTACTGTTACTGCTGTCTCTGTTACTGTTACTGCTGTCACTGTCACTGCCGTCACTGTTAGTGTTACTGCTGTCACTGTTACTGTTACTGCTGTCACTGTTACTGCTACGTCTGTCACTTAATGTTACTGCTGTTACTGTCACTGTTACTGCTGTCACTGTTACTGCCGTCACTGTTAGCGCTACTGCTGTCACTGTTACTGTTACTGCTGCGTCTGTCACTTACTGTTACTGCTGTTACTGTCACTGTTACTGTTACTGCTGTCACTGTTACTACCGTCACTGTTAGTGTTACTACTGTCACTGTTACTGTTAGTGCTGTCACTGTTACTGCTACGTCTGTCACTTACTGTTACTGCTGTTACTGTCACTGTTACTGTTACAGCTGTCACTGTTACTGTTACAGTTGTCACTGTTACTGTTACAGCTGTCACTGTTACTGTTACAGCTGTCACTGTTACTGTTACTGCTGTCACTCTTATACAATAATAAAATAATATAAAAAATTATAGTTATATAGTTATAAAAAACTAAGAATAAAGAACAAAAAAACTTTGTGCTACGAGAAGAGTAATTACCCTGATGTTACTAAGACTAATCACCTGCAGCCAATTCCATCGGCTCTAGGGCTTCCGGACACCTGCTAAGACACTTCCCTGGAAACACAAGCTGTAACTGTCTCTATTTTCTGCTTGTTACAACGTGTAATAAAGTTGTTACATCTTGGCTTAACGTGTTTAT